AAGGGAATCTAATGTTTGGGGCAGGAGAGGAAACACCTGCCTAAGAAGGTGAGAAGTCAGAGCTACACCTAGACCAGAAGATTCAGGCACATTTATAGACATCATTATGATGAGAAAAGAACATAGTATCTGTAAGTTTCATCCAAAATAAAAGAAAACATGTGGAGCGAGAAAAGAAAGAACAACCATAAAACCAATATTCTTTTTAGAACTTGCTAGAATCACAGTAGAAATATTGAAGTTCTTAGATCAGTATCTTTTAAATATATCTGAGGATAGCTCCTCCTATTTTTAATTTTTAATTTTAAAAAAAATTTTTTGAGACAGGGTCTTGCTCTGTTACCCAGGCTAGAGTGCAGTGTCATGATCACGGCTCACTGCAGTCTCAACTTTTTGGACCCCAGTGATCCTCCCACCTCAGCCCCTGAGTAGCTGGAATCAGAGGCTCGTGCTACCACACCCATCTGCTTTTTTGATTTTTAGTAGAGAGGGGTCTCACTATGTTGCCCAGGCTGGTCTAGCACTTCTGAGCTCAAGCAGTCCCCCTGCCTCGGCTTGTCAAAGTGTTGGGATTGCAGGCGTGAGCTACCACTCCCAGTCCTCTTTTTCATTTTTAAAAAACCTTCTTTAATATCTTGTGGAACTATAATTTAAGGAAGATAGTTTGTAAAATGTTAAGTTGGTAGCATTAAGGTGGACTTTTGCACCCCTGAATTCCATCTTTCCAAATTGTAGTACTTTTTGGCTTTTGAATAATGGCTAATAACTCTTGTGATTCTTGGTACTTTCACCATGCCTGCCTATATGCGACCTCTGTTAGGGTATGAGCTGGAAACTCAGGCTTGTTAGAATTTTGCCTAAATAAGTGTCATAGGATTTTGAGCATTGGCTTTAGAGACTTTTCCATAAGCAAATATATGAACTTGGCACCCTGAAGCTTTTGTAGCTATTTTGACTGCCCGCAAAATTTTTCTTGCTTACTTACTTGGTTCTTAGCTTCCATTCGGAAGGCAGAACTTTCCAGCTAATTGGCCTCCAAATAGTTGAAGCGTGATTGTATTATTGCTACTAATAATATTGGCATTGCTTAAAAGCAACAGAACAAGTCTGCAGATTATACACTGCAGAGGCCCTTTAAAGAAACAGTTAATCCAGAGATTAGGCGGCATATTTTGAGAACTTTTTCAAATTTTTGTCATGCACACACACTCATCTGATGTTTGCAACAGTGTTGAGCATATGATTTGTGAAGTGATAGTGAACCTCAGTATGAGAAATACATGACCACCTACTGGTGAGGCTACAAAGGCAGAAATTCAGCCATGATCAAACAAACAAATGCATTCTTTCCACATATTCATGAGACAAGAGTGCACGCTTGCTTGTGGAATTTACAGTTTTCCACAGGTGGATTTGGTGGAGGCATCTGACTGGGGATGTTTCTATGTCTTTCACTGTTTACATCTTCTTATAATAAAATTTAAACAAAGAAATACAGTAGGCCTCTTGCCATGGAATTAGATTCTATCAAAAAATTAATTCTTATCACTAGTCCCAGTGGTTACACCCAAGATGTCTTTTTGGGTATGTTTAAGGCAGGTTACTTCAGGGTCCAATTAGTTACATGAAAGGAAAATAAATGCTAACATGAACATGGCCAAAGGAAGGCAAATAATGATGTCACTTTGGCAACTTTTAGAGTAGTGTGTTTTTTTGGTTTTTTTTTTGAGATGGAGTCTTGCTCTGTAGCCTAGGCTGCAGTGTAGTGGCACGATCTCGGCTCACTGCAACCTCCACCTCCCGGGTACCAGTTCAAGCAATTCTCTTGTCTCAGCCTTCCAAGTAGCTGGGATTATAAGAACATACCACCATACCCAGCTGATTTTTGTATTTTTAGTAGAGATGGGGTTTCACTATGTTGGGCAGGCTGGTCTTGAACTCCTGACCTTGTGATCCACCTGCCTCAGCCTCCCAAAGTGCTGGGATTACAGGCATGAGCCAACATGCTTGGCCTGAGTAGTTTGTTTCATACTGGGCATTACCTTTAACCCCCCTGCCCCATTTATTATAAAAATTTTACTTTGAAAATGCCATTTCAAAAGAAAATTTTGTTGTGACAAAACATAAACATGAGAGATGAAAGAATTAGACAGTGAACATCCAGGTATCCATCACCCACTTCCAACAGTGAACACTTTACTCCTCCTGCTTTCTCACATCTCTTGTCATCTGTCCCTCCCTCTACCCAATCATCCAATCATCTTGATTTTCTGTGGCATTTCACTAAACAGTTCAGTACACAGATCATTAACTAGAATTCAATATTTATTTACAAGGTTTTTTTGAGGTAGGTACAGTATGATGTACAAACTAAGTACATTTTGGTGGATTTTGGCGAATATACACAACTATGTAACCCAAACAACTCTCAAGACCTAGAATGTTTCTAGCATCCCAGATTGTTCTCTCATGCCCATCCCACCAATCCCTGCCCCATTTTCCCAAAGGCAACCATTATTATGATATATATATATATATTTTTTTTACCCTAGATTAGTTTTACCATTTTAGGATTTCCTATAGATACAATCATGCAGTGAAAAAAAGGTGTGCAGAGCTTTTTCACTCAGTAAGGTGGTTTGGAGATTCATTATGATGTTGTGTGTCTCTATTGTAGTTTGTTCCTTTTTCTTGCTGAGTAGTATTCCATCGTAGTCATATACCACTGAGCACAGTTTTAAGAGAAATAGAATATGCACCAAAGAACGCCAGAGAAGAGTTTCCAAGATAATGAGATGGTGGTGGTTGCGGAGACCTGAGACATTTTACTATAAAAAAGAGCACATTTAGGAAAGGACATGAGAACTACCTTCTACTGCTTGAGGCAAGAATCAGCAAACATTCTCTGCAATGGACTAGATAGTAAATATTTTAGGCTTTACTGGGCCGTGTGGTCTTTTTTCAACTGCTTAATTCCAACCTTATTGTAAAGTAAAAGCAGCCACAGACAATATGTAAATGAAGTGTGATTGTGCTCCAATAAAACTTCATTTACGGACACAGAGATTTAAATTTCATGTGATTTTCATGTGTCACAAAATATTATTCTTCTTTTGATATTTTTTCCAGCCATTTGAAAATTTGAAATCCATTCTTAGCTCATGGCCCATATAAAAACAGATGGTGGTCCAGATTTGGCCTACAAGCCATAGTTTGTCAATCTCTGATATAAAAGCACTGTCAAATGGAAGAAGGAATAATTATTCTGTTTAGGACTAGTGGGCAATATGAAGACTAAAGGGGCAGCTTTTGCTCAGAAAACTGAAGATCTTTCTATTAATTAAAGTAGTGTTGAGGCCAGGCGCAGTGGTTCCCTTCTGTAATCCCAGCACTTTGGGAGGCCAAGACAGTTGGATCACTTGAGGTCAGGAGTTCGAGACCAGCCTGACCAACATAGAGAGACCCTGTCTCTACTAAAAATACAAAGTTAGCTGGGTGTGGTGATGCATGCCTGTAATCTCAACTACTTGGGAGGATGAGGCAGGAGAATCGCTCGAACCTGGGAGACGGAGGTTGTAGTGACCCGAGATGGCGCCACTGCACTCCAGCCTGGGCAACAAGAGCGGAAACTCCTTAAAAAAAAAAAAAAAAAAAAAAAAAAAAAAAGTAGTGGACTCTAATTCCCTACTTTGTCTCCTCTCTCCCTTGCCCCTATTGGTAGCATAGGATTAGCAAGACAGGCTCCAGGGATAGTCTGTTTAGTTCAATTGTCCAGCTCTTCCCAGACTAGCTGTGTGATCCCAGCAAGTTAGTTAACTCTTTTCTGTTTCCATTGATTCATCTATAAAATAAGAGAAATCATACATTCCACCTCCTAGAGGCATTTTCAAGATTTAGTAAGTTAAGTGTCTGTGAAGTCCTAGGAACAGTGCTGATTCACAATCAGTACTCAATATACTTAGGACAGTGTCTGGCACATAGTAAGTATGAAATATGTGTTTATTATTATCATTATTATTGTAATTCTTTTTATCATTGAGAAGCCGGACAGACGTGTGAGAATTTTGTTGAAGGAATTCCTACTTTTCATAGTAGGCTGGACTAACAGATGCTTAGTTGCTTTCCTGTTCTAATCATCAGCATTCTCTTCAATTTAGTGCCTGATGCTCTGACCCTGAGGCTCACTGTTGTTGAAATCTGAGAAGAAATAACCTAACATTCTAGTCATTAATATCAGCATAGCCTACATAATAAGGTAAAAGTACAGTTGGACCTTCCACATCCACAGCTTTAAACAACCACAGATTTAAAAAAATTGTAAAAAAAAAATGTAATAATACAACAATAAAATGAATACAAATAAAAATACAGTATGACAGCCATTTACATAGCATTCACATTGTATTAAGTGTTGTAAGTAACCTAGAGATGATTTAAAGTATACAGGAGGATATGAGTAGGTTATATGCAAATACTATACCGTCTTATATAATGGACTTGAGCATCGGCAGATTTTGGTATTGAAGGGGGTTCTGGAACCAATCTCCTGCAGATACAGAGTGATGGCTGTGTATTTTGTTTCTGCTTGATTTCTCCTTACTCTGGGTCTTGGACCCACCTCTCAGGAGATCTGATTGATGATAAGGCCTTATGTGGATGATGACTAGTTGTAATGCTACTTTAAGTTTTTCTCCATATGAGAAAGTGAGAGGAGTAGTGATCTTTGCTTTGTTAGGGGAAATGTGTCAAAACATTAGGCAAGCATTAATTTTTCCTAAGAGCTTTATTCACATATTGGGCAATGCTGGATAACTGGATAGTTGTGTGTATTAATGTAGGTAGGTCTGGATGTCCTGTCATATTGTGGGACCGGTGCTCCAAGCCTGTTATGATTGCTGCTGCCTGTTGAGAACAGGGGAATTCAGGTAGAGCTGACTGTGCCAGATTGCCATTTGCAGCCCCTCATCTCCCAGTTAAAACACTTAAACTAGATTTTTGTGTTTACTTGGTCTCTGAAATATATTTTCCCAAGTCTGATTATTTTACCTTCTTTTTCTCTGTTAGCTGGCTGGAATGATGGCCCTATTTCTAGGTGTGGTAAGCACGATATAAAATCACAAAATGGTACTAGCAGAGGCCTGTGGGATTATTTATGTCAACATTTTCATTTTCCACATGAGGAAACCAAGGCACAGATAAGAGAAACTTTATGCTTCCAGTCTAGTGCTGTTTGTATTATGCCAGATTCATCTTTGACTCTAAGCAGGATCAGATGTGGGGTGTGTTGCAGAAGGTGGCAGGAAGGCCAGACGGAGGTGAGCCCCACCTTCATGCCTACGATGTGGAGTTTTGGCATTATTTCCAAATAAATATATATAATAACTGGAAGAATACTCCCTATTATACTGAACATTCTCAGAAAACATTATAAATATCAAATATTAAAACCTAATTCATTTTTTTAAAAAATCCTGTTTGGGGATGTCTTTATTATCTCATATATTGGAATCTCAAATAGTGGCATTGGTCTCAGCCTTTCTGTAACTCACAAAAGCCCTGCTGATGAGAAAGTGATACCCTAGTATTTACATGAGCGTTTAAACATTTAGACATCCTCGTGAACAGATGATTCCAGGAAGAATGGCTGGTAGGACACTAATCAACATCAAGGCGGGCCTTGATTGATCCTAGATGATAAGTTAAAAACAAGGCCAACATGGACATGAAGAAAGAACAATAGAAGGGAAGAAATACTAGATAGTGAAAAGGGAGAAAAGAAGAAAAGAAGGACGTAATGTATCCTGGCAGTTCCCAAGAAGTTAACGTGGCAGAGGAAATGCAAAGCTCTCTAATGGGGGTGAGGCGCCTAGTCTTTTGACTGAAATAGAAATGGGGGCTTTTCCCACTAACTCCAGCATCACTTAATAAAGCCCGTTCAATAGTCTCATGTGTTTTTTGAAGCATGAATGGATTTGAGTTGACTCTTTACTGTTTTCTAGCTTGACTCAAAAGATGGTTTACAGCACTGGAAGTCCCAAGGTTTCACATACACAATGTCATGAGAGTTATTAATTTTTGAAGTTAAGATTATTGCCTCCTTACTGACTTTCTGAACTCATTGGATTTAGTAACTACTGCTTTGAAGGCAAATATTTACTTTGCATATTAAAAAAAACGACTTTGTTTAGTATGTAAAATGACATACTGACATTAACTAAATTCACAACAAAGCTGAATTCCTCTAAAAATGTTATATTTATAAAATTGGAAAACTGTTTCACCCCTTTGTGTTTAATACTTATGCTAATGCCTTGCTTATTCATTTTTTAAAAATCAATTTTAAGGAGAATAAAGAATTCTGCTGCAAAAATAAGTTGAAAGTCTAAAACTTGTTTATTGCAGTAGAGGCTCCAAGATCACACATGTCCATTAGAGGTATTCAGTGCAGGGTCACTGGAGGGTCGGCAAGAGACAGCCAATTAGATGTCTGTTTTTCCTTTCAAAGTCCTGTCTGTTTCCTTCACTCTCTTCAAAACACCCTAAGTAGATATATATATCATGAGGTAAAAGCAAAAAAAAAAAAAAAAAGAAAAAGAAAGACAAAAAGAAAAAAAAGAAAGCCTTAGAACAGTGGGAGTTTTATTATCCAGTAGTCATGTATTTTAAATGCCCATCATTATCAAGAGGAAAAACGAAGCTCAGCGTCTTATAAGAAGATGTGATACGACGTAGAATACTATTCAATTTTATCTAAATTTAGGCAGGAAAAGCCTACTGAATGCAATCCTTGGTTTCCCACCGTGGAAGATAGATGACTTCAAAGTTGTAGCAAAAGTATTTGTTTAGAGTGGGGAGGATCAAGACTTTCTGGTATTTACAGTGAAAAAACAACAACAACCCAGCCTATCTTTTGGAAAAGGAATGCATGGTTAAATTGGCTCAGCTTGTCCTTAGCAACCTGAACTCAGAGGCCACATATTTTCCTCTCTAAGAAGCAAGTGGGAACTTGAAAAGTATGTAGCATGTTGTGAAGAGGGAGCAGTGAACTTTGCCCAGTTCTGCAGCCAGCACTGAAATCTGAACCTTCTGTAGTCCCAGGAATGGTGTCCCTCCACCACCACCCCCCATCGTTCCTTTTTAAACCCTGTGCACAGACCACCTTAGCAAACTACCTTGGCCTGGAAGCAGCACAGTTGTGACCTCTAAGAGAAAACCTGTTCTCTAAGTAACTCTGATGCCATTAAGAAGGAAATGCTAATGACAACAAAAAAAACCCCCACTAAACCCAACTTTATAATTATGATATTCAACCTTGTGTTTTATAATATGTATGGAGAAAATATAGTAAGAGTTGGTTTTGTTGCATTCATTTTAAAGATACCTTTAGAAGTTTTGGAAGTTCCCCATGTAGATTACCACTGGTTGGAAAAATTTTTCTTACCTTGTTGGGGGAAGAACATCATTAAAAGCCCTGAATGTAGGCAGCTTGCTGTATGAATCTTTTCACAACAGTAAGTTACTTGGTAACTTGAGCTGCACTCGTGCCTGAAATTCTTTCACATAATTGAAGATTAACTTGATTCCCCGATTGTTGAGGGTGGTTGACAGTGTGGGGCTCGGTGGGTGGAAATAGATTATTCAAATCACAAAGAAGTAGGTGTGCCCTAAGTGACTGTTCCATTACTGATCATGATTGTTTGCCTTCCTAAGTATTCATCAAACTCGGTGCTGTGGGATCGTGTGGGGAGGGAGGAGAGTACACTGCCAATGTTCAGAACACAGGTGAACCTCAGAGAAACTTAAATATTTTGTAAAGAGACTTATATGTACTAATAGCTACTCCAGAATCCATTAACACCCAAACAAGCCGACTAAGGGTTCTGGCTTTCTCAAGTGGCTAATGTAAACAATATGAAAGTCAATAGTCGGGGACATTCCAAGATAGTATTAGCACGATTGATTTATTGATGGTTGCACAGTGGGAGGTTATCTTTTGTTAATTGACTCAGTAAATAAGCTCCCAGGCGTCAGTGCATAGGGGGAAAAGCAACCAGTGGAGGAAAAGGTGAGCCACCTGGATTATTATTTTTTTTCAACCCCCAGCCTGTCTTGGTAAATTTCATACCACTTCCTCTGTCAACCTCAAACACAGTTTAGCAATTTTAATTCTGGCCAAAACTCTGCCTCCATGTTTCATGAGGGGAAGACTCAAGTGTTGTATGTTCCTATCAAACAGTCAAACTATCTATGTATCTATGTATCTTTTAAAAACCATTGCTTCAGGAAGATATGAAACAATAGTAGGAGAGAGAGAGGGAATTCACTGACTTGGGTTATTTATTAATACAAATCCAGAAATGGCGGGAAAGATGCATGCATGATCTTGTAACCTCCAAGAAGTTATTGAATCATGGAGAACCATGGGGGTAATACATTGTTTGCTGTTAACACTTATTTATGCAGCATTTCTTCATAAAGACTACTAGAATTTGGTACCTCTTCCTTCTAGGAGAAAGGGGGAAATAAAAACAAATGCTTTATAAGGCCGGGCATGGTGGCTCACACCCATAATCTCAGCACTTTGGGAGGCCAAGGTGGGCAGATCACGAGGTCAAGAGTTCGAGACGAGCCTGACCAAAATGGTGAAACACCCTCTCTACTAAAAATATAAAAATGAGCTGGGCGTGGTGGCCCACACCTGTAATCCCAGCTACTTGGGAGGCTGAGGCTAGAGAATTGCTTGAACTCGGGAGGCGGAGGTTGCAGTGAGTGGAGATCATGCCACTGCACTCCACCCTGGGTGACAGAGTGGGACTCTGTCTCAAAAAAAAAAAAAAAAACTTTATAAATTTTGACCAATTCCTAGTACAGCAGTTCCCCTCATCCGCAGTTTTGCTTTTCATGGTTTCAGCTACCTGTGGTCAATCACAGTCTGAAAATATTAAGTAGAAAATTCCAGAAATACACAGCTCCTAAGTTTTGAATTTCACATTGTTCTGAGTAGATGAAATCTTCTGCCATCCTGCTCTGTCTCGCCTGGCCAGTGAATTGTCCCCTTTGTCCAGTGGATCCATGCTGTATGCCCACCCCTCCCCTTAGTCACTTAGTAGCCATCCCAGTTATCAGAACGATTGTCACAGTGCTTGTGTTCAAGTAATTCTTATTTCACAAAGAATGGCCTCATAGTGCAAGAATAGTGATGCTGGCAATTTGGATATGCCAAAGAGAAGCCACAAATTGCTTCTGCTAAATAAAACGGTGAAAGTTCTGGACTTAATAAGAAAAAAAAGTATCCTGATATTGCTGAGATCTACAATAAGAATGAATATAGTATCCATGAAACTGTGAAGAAGAGAAATCTGTGCATAGTATGTACAGGGTTCAGTGCTGTCTTCAGTTTCAGGAATCCACTCAGGGTACTCCTCAAGGACAAGGGGAGACTGCCGTATTATATCTGCTGAAGTGGGACCTCCTGGATCGATTCCTAACACTTTGAACTTGGCTAGATTTTTTTTTTGGACTTTTACACTTTCATCATCAATAGTTTAAAATTTTAAATTTCTCACTGTTCGACCCTTTCTGTCTTCTAGAACAGTGGTTTCCAACCTTTTGGCACTGGGAACCAGTTTCATGGAGGAGGATTTTTCCATGGACAGGGTGGAGGGGTTGGTTTTGGGATGAAACTGTTCCACCTCAGATCATCAGGCATTAGATTCTATAAGGAGCACACAACCTAGATCTCTGGCATGAGCAGTTTGCAGTAGGGGTTGGCTCCTGTGAGAACCTAATGCCGCTGCTGATCTCATAGGAAGAGGCCTGATTCCTAACAGGCCACAGATGGGTACTGGTCTGCAGGCTGGGACTGGGGACCCCTGTTCTAGAACATTCAAAAAACATCAACTTCTCCTTTCACGCTGTCTTTCCCTCTGCTATCCCTAAGGCTTTTCTTTTTTGATATGGGCATTCTTTAAGCTCTGACTTCTCTTTTTCTCTTTCCTCTGCCAAGATTGCTCTTTCTGTCAATCGCATCCAGCTGCTGGCTGCAGGGGTGTGTAGAGTGAGCTTTGTGAAGTAGGAATCAACACCTGCTCCCACTCCAGCTCTGTCTCCACCTTTGGATCATCTCCCATCCTGACTTTTCTATTTCTGTACCTAACCCACTCCATCCCGTTCTGCGATTGGTTTTGGCCCTGAAACTTGGAGTCCACCTCACTTGCCCACTTTCTTCTGTAAGTTCCCAAGTCCTATAGATTCTGCTTTTAAAATGTATAGTTCATCAACAAAGAGCTTTGCCCCCCAGCTAGAATAGATTGGACTTCGGACTGGCACAGGGTAAGTATTTAATTAATTTCTGTTGAATGAAGGAATGAGTGAGTGGCTCCTCCTTAAGCCAGAGTCTCTGCTCCAAAAATAATTCTATATATCTTTGCCTACTACTGTGTTCTTCTTAATAATAATCATCTCTGATCACATTATTTCAGGGCTCAAAAACTGTCAGTAACTAGGTTTCTCCTGAACCCAAGGTAAACTACTCTTTTTTTCAAGCCACCCACAATGTCTTTTTGTTTTATCTCCCGCTAAACTCCTAAATATACTATGCTCAATACAGAATATTTCTTATTTTCCTCTAAATTCTTTACATCTCTCTGCTTCCCTATTTTAGCTCATTTCATTTCTTCAACCAAAATGTTTGTTTCATCATTTTTTAAAGCTACGTTTCTTTACTTTTTTTTTTTTTTAAATTTGACGCCCATTTCAAATGCTACCCTGTCCGTGGAGCTATTTTTAGTTCTAAATACCTCTTTCTCAGCCAAGCTAGATGTGCTCTTCCTCTTGGGGCATTTATTGTATTCAGCCTGTATCATAGATATTTCTATACTTGATTCATTCTTTCCTAATAAAAGGCAAATGCTTGGGAGACAGGAGCTAAATCTTCTTTTTTTCTGTCCTGGACTCTCAATGTGTCATCCACAGTAGGCACACAGAATGCTATTTCTGAATTACACTAATTTTTATATTCTCATCTGTGTAAGATTTTTTTCTTTCTCCTTTGATTGCATGTTGTTGTTCAGTTGTGTGTGTGTGTGTGTGTGTGTGTGTGTGTGTGTGTGTGTGTTTTCCCTTTTGCTATGTTCTGCTTAGGACCTTTAGTTTTGAAACATTTATTTATTTATCTTTCCCATTTTGACCTATCAAATAAAATGTATTCTTTCATGTGAATATCCAAAGTGAGGGAGGACACTGTGACATGTCTCATGAACTGCTGTTCCAAGGTAGTATTTACAAGCAATCCCTCGATCTGGATTTTTTTTAAATTTTATTTTTATACATTTAGATGGTACAAGTGCAGGTTTCTTACATGCATATATTGTGCAGTGAAATCTGCATTTACCAATCATTATTTTAAACTGCTCTTTGGAATGCAGGGAGGTCCAGGAGCAGGGCTTTGGTTTGCCATGCTGCCACCTGCTTCGGGTTTGCCCAGCTTTCTGTTCCTTCACTACCCCTTTTAATGTCTGGGAGTTAGTTACACTGAAGTCCCACTCCATACAGAGCTGCCTGCAACTTGAGATGCAAACGCCAACACTGTGGGCCACTTTTTAGAAGCCTGTGGTCATTCGGGAAACAAAGGCACTCCTGTTTCCTCTTCTCAATAACGACATCAGATTAATAGAATCTTTAAATTCTTGAACTATGCTCCCAGAATAGTTTGTGTTTGCTTTAACACAAAGGAATACTTTAGGAACCCTAAAGGTCACCCAAGAAATAAGAGAGAGTCGGCTTATGAATCGTGTATACTGGTAGATTTTTGGAGAATGGCAAGTGTCCTAGGCAATGCGCGCTGGATTTGGAGCGACCTTGGCATGGGAGTACTCTGTGATTTACTCTGGAGAGGCATTTCCTGGGCACGGAATCCCCTGTATTGAAGGAGCATGCCATTAGGAGAAGAAGAAATGGGGGTGGGGCGGGGTGGGGAAGAGGAAGGCTTCTTGGTTCACATTCTGGTATTCACTTAATGAGTGGAATGTTCTTGCTAATGGGATTTAACCACAATACCTATCCCTAACCTTGTCACCGAAAAGGTAGTCTACATGCCCCTTTTGTTCAATACCGTCTGGCTGGTAACTGTGCAAAAGTCTGTTCTCCCCATTTTCTAAGTGGTAATCCTAGAATTATCTTGGCTCAGAAATAAATGAAGAACTCGTGTACAGGACTCAAATTTCCCTACAGGGGTTGTCACTGAAACAAGGATTAAGTGCTGGTACACAAAACCTCTCAAGCAACGGACAACATGTCAATTGCTAAACATTCTATGGTAGAAGGCCTTTAGTTTTTCTCTTTTATAAAGCTTGAGATCAAGTTTTGGTAAGGAGTAAAAAAGCAAGGCAATTTAGCTCCTCTAAAGGGTTGCTTGTTGGGAAGGACAGAGCTATATTTAGCTCCATGGCTCTGTTTCCAGGAAGCTAAAGCAACAAGGCAATTAAATGGTGAATTGTGTGTGTGGAGAGGGGGTCCAGGAGGAGGGCAGGTTAGGGAGATGGTAAAGTAGGCCTTAAAAAAGAGTCTGTTTAGGAAAAAAAAATCAAAACAGTTGCAA